CTCCTACAAATGATGGTCAAAGAATATACAAAATTATTTGAAAATAATATTATTTATCTTATATAATGCACGCTAACATTAATGCATTTCTTACCATCTTCAACTGACTTGAATTCACAATTAGGAGCGAATGTACCAACACAAGAATATTCATCGCCAAAAACTATTAGTGAATCGAATGGTGAAGGATCGCTTAGAGTAACATTGACTGAATCTATTGAAAGGTTACCGAATAGATCTTTTGAATTCCAAATTTTATTATTTTCTAGAATCCTCATTGCATGGCTCCCCGATTTCGGATCTTTCAAGAACGCATTTATTCCCAATAAAATGTATCTCCTTATTGGAGCCGTTCAAATATACATCTACAAACTGAAAGTGGCAGCAATGTATGATGCCATTGGAAAAAATTTTTTACCGAAACACTGTGCATGAAAAAGGCCATTGAGTCTGTTCTGCCACTTGAAGTTGAGATGATTCTTGAACATGTCGAAGCTGACAGAACAGAACCGTCTATTCCAAAACAGGCGCTAATTTGCAAAAAGGTTAAAGCAAAAAAACCAACGATCATTGTATTTGGCGTGTTTGTGAATATTTTTTTCAAGATTCATGAATTCCTTTTATATGGAAACATTGGGAGTTTGCACTTTTATGATCCAATAAATATTAACATTCGTGGCGATTTTATTGGTATTTAAACCAGATGGGTACTTTTTTATTTAACATCGTGTGTTTAAGAATGAAAAACGTTGGAAAAAACAAATAGAAAATTCTATTTAATTCGTTATTGAATATTTGCACTTACCTTTTCATTGCTATTCAATCAATCTTAAATGCAACTGATTTTACACTTTCACAATATTTTTAATCTTATGACTCAATTGGGTTTAAAACGATTTTCGTCTTCGCTAATTAATATATCCCAATTCGAATAATTCTAATTACTTCTACACACACACACTTTGCCATTATCTCCATTTTCGTTGGATTTTGTGACTTTTCGAGTATTTGCTATTTTCAGTATCAATTGTAAATTAAATTAATCAACCGAATTGCGCCTACATTACCAGAAGGGAGAATAAGATAAATAATAAAAAACACTGGTAATTCACTTCATTCTTTTCAATATTTTCTCAAGTTAAAGAACTCTGTTAATAACTAGTGATCTAAGTTGAAGATAAATTTAACACTTGAGAGTTTCACTCGAATTGAAATTGTTACGCCAATTTTCCGAACAATGTTTAATTCACCTCGAAGATAATCAGTCAAGCTATATTTTTTTATTTATTTATTTACTTTTTTTATATATTTCATTTTGTAGAAACGTCGTGGCTGCAGATATTGATGAAATTACAAAAAAAATTGCATAGTGCATGTTTGCATATGGTGGAGGAAAATACAGTTTAATAAAAAGGAACAAAAATGTTAGATTCCGTTCAAAGAAAGTAATCAGGTTGTGTTCAATTCGTTTTTGGTTATAGTTAGGTAATTATCTATGACTTTTTTGATCAAATTTATAATTCATGTAAAATTGATTGAAATAGTGCAGTTGTTGCTAGAATGTGACCTGTAAAAATTCAACAATGCAATTTGTTTCTGAATATTGCTGAAAAGCATGATGTAACTGTTGAAGTAGCTTAGTATAGGCATAACGACAAGTGTTGAACTTCAGCTGCCTCCATTAAAGGGGTATTATGGTCTTCGAAAAATCTTTGAAAAATTTTTTTTACATATTTTATAGTTTAACTATTCAAGAATATGTCTACGAGAGTATTTTCCAAAATTCGAATTTGTTTTCGAGATATATATATTTTGCTGATCAGGCATTCAAATCGGTTGCGCTGCGACGAATCGAATAAATGACATAATGAGTTCTCCGACTACCTGAAACTATATTTCTTAGTGAGCCCTTTTGTTCCGTTACATCAATCTATATGTATATATATATATATATATATATATATATATGGGTTCTTATCTCACTTTTTTAATTAATAAATATTTCGAGTTTGAAACAATATAAATCGTAAAAGGCTGGTTGAAATCGAACTAGAACGACTTGATTGACAACAAAACGATAATTGCATGAATGATGGATGGTTTAAATCAATCATATATGCAACCTGTCGTCATTTGCCCAGTACTTGAATGTAAAATTGAAAAAAATACATTGTCAATTCTTATTTGCTAGGTTCAATGAGAGATCACTTAAGAACTTCCATCTGAAAAGATGCCTTTTGCTATTGATGCTCTTTAGAAATTAAAAAATTATAGATTTTTGGCGCTAAAATTTAAACAGCGAATTACTCAAATATTCCCTTTAAATGAACGTCGTCCACCCAATTCAAAATTATATTGAAAATTTGGGTTTTTATCTCACTTTTTTAATCAATAAATATTTCGAGTTTGAAACAATAAAACTGTGTACAGCAGGTCGAATTCGAACTTGAACAACTTGATTGACGTCAAAAGGATAATTGCTGAATGGTGAAAGGTTTAAATCAATCATATAGGCAACCTTTACATGCAAAAATATTGGTTTTACCCTAATTGGTTTTGAATTGTGTCATGTGACAGACATTACTCATTCTAAATAGAGATTTAATACTGCTCTCTTGTCGACATCACAAAATTGGTGATCAAACGCACTGCTCTAGCTATTCTCATATAGACTTACTTACTTATTTGTTTATTTATCAAGCCCATTGATAAACTATAAACACAAGGTCATCATGGCTAGTCTCCTTTATCTTCAAGCCCGAAATCTTACCTTCCCAACCCCTTCATTCCCACCCTTAGCTCCCCTTATCATAATACGTCAACGCGCATTCAGTGTTGCCGTTCACACATTAATGCTTCTTAAATAAGTAATAAACCGTCCCCATCTCGCTCACCCATACCTCAACTTGGTTCATTTGGAAACTTCAATGCGAACGAATCCTCGCTGTTCCCATTAAACTGTTTTGTTTTGAAATTCAGTTAAGGATGCGCAACCTAAATGCCATTTAAATAATTTGACACTGAAATAAAATTCAAGGCCAGAAAAATATAGATTTATAATTTGCTATGCTACTGAAATAAATAAGTAATGGTTTTTTTAAATAGCTCAAGAAGAATAACATTAGTGACTCAGCTATGATCGTCTACATATTCACGAATATGTTGATTCTCCCACAAAGCTTGGCACCCTTTCCAAAATCTCCATTTAGTCGCGTCAAAGTCACGTAGAATACACTAGCAATAATATCATTATTTTTGAGTTTAGGCACATGCAATGCACCGATGTACCACTTTAATTCAATAGAATTGAAACCTCATTCAAAATGAGTTAGTTTGCAGTTATTCCCATGTGTTTAATTTTATTTGAAAAGATCGGAGTATTTAAAATATTTGCCTGCTCGAACAAAAATTGAGTTATTTTCAATGAAAAGCTTTGAGTGTCCTGCCTGGCATCGTTCGATTTCGACAAAATTAAGAATTGACAATCTCTAAATTCTTTTTAAAACCTTTATTCATGGTTTTGAAAGTGGGAGAGCAGTTCTTATCAATGCTAAAGTGATCTTACTTATCACATTCAAAATTTTCACAATTGTTTTGAGTAATATCTGACATAATTTTTAATTCAAGTTGATAACTTTGATACTTTTAACATGATAATTGTGTCTGTTTCGAATTAAGAAGAAAGTGCTCTTACTATAGTCAAAATAGCCATAGAGAGCTGGCATTGAAAGGCGCCTGACAAATGCAATATATACAGTAGAAAACCTGTCCACGGGGTAGAAGATGACCTCGATCATTAAAACGAACATGTTTGCCAAACAGCACCGAATCATGTCAGGGTAGGTTGGACTAAATCGATCAGTATTTGTCTACGGGTATTTAGCTTTCAGGACTATTATTGAGTGTGACAGACCCATTTCGGAAAGAACCAACTCTTTTGTGTAGGAATTTGTTATTAGTTCACACCTTCCAACATTGCATAACCTCTCCTACCGACCGAATTCTCCATCGGTCTAATTTCATTATTGAAGTCTGTGAGTAAATATGATGATAACAGCGATTCACTCTTTATTTTCGACGAGTGACAAGTTGTGCAGGCCGTTGTCTGGTCAATTGAGTGTAAATTTTTATCAAAAGATGATGTAGGTTTCCGTAATCCTTTTCAAACTAGTAATAAATCAGTGATTTACCTAAGTGCCCACATAATATATGATCCTCTTTCAAATTAATCAACATGTGTTACCTATCTAAAACTCAGCAACGGTTTCGATTCTTGGCCAGTCGGGTATGTCGGAGAGTGCCACTGGCCACTGTTTCTCCTTTGTTCGAGCTTTGAGTTCGTTGGACCTTGAGGTCTGGAATTCTCTCCTGATTAAGGCCTTCATTGTGTGGAAGGACATCGGCCGGTCCATGCATTGCAAAATCTTTGTCCCCTTCTTAGCAAGTGTGTCAGCAATCTCATTGCCTTTAATGCCACAGTGACCAGGAATCCATTGTAGGACCACTGTTTTGTTTTTCTCTCTCAGCAGCTCATAGAGTTTTCTACATTCCTTTATCTCAGCTGTTTTAGGTGTCTCTCTGTTTCCAATAGAGTCTATTGCTGACTGTGAGTCCGATAAAATCACCGCTTTGGTGAATTTCGTGTCCAGGCAACATAATTGGCATAGTGCTATCCTAATGGCCTCTATTTATCCTTCAAAAGCGAATCTATTATGTCCCGCTGCTGCGTAGAAAGAGAAGAGTTCAAAATAGACACCTGCACCAACGTTTGCTTGGCTTTCTATGTATGACCCATCAGTGTAGACTTGGATTTTGATAGAGCATTTCCATATATGACTTTGCTTGATCTTTGTTCAATGAATGCTTTTATTCAATTTAGCATATTATGCTTAATACCAATCTTTGCCAATTTTAGAATTAGCTTCTCTTTCCATTCTAAGTCATATGCTGATTTGAAGTCGACGAAAACAGCCGTAAGGGTATTTCTTGCATCAAGGGCGTCTTTCATGTGTTGGGAAAAAGTGGCTACTTGTTGGTTCGATGAGCTTTGTGGCCTAAAACCTGCTTGTTCACTCCTAAGAATATTGTTAGTCTCAAGAAACCAGGTGAGCCTCCTGTTAACCATTCTTTCCATAAGTTTAGCCAGCACGCTTGTGAGGGAGATAGGCCTATAATTTTCAAAGTTGCTAGGGTCTTTGCCCTTTTTTATTACTGGTATTACTATGGCAACTTTCCATTGGTTAGGTACGAGACTGGTCTCCCACATTTTGTTGTAAAGCGTTAGCATGGTTTCCTTGGCTTTTGGTCTCATTCTAATTGGAAATTCTGGATGAATAGCGTCTTCGCCAGGAGACTTCTTGCATTTAGCTGTTTTTTCGCAGCATTAAGTTTGCAAGGTCTGAATAGTTCAGTAAGTACAGTATTTGGTGTTGTCGTGTCTTCCNTTCTTTGCACATCTGATCATAATATTCGTGATAGCAGTGCAAAGTTTGTCAGGATGTTGGTTTAAGTTGAGGGGACTTGAATGAAGTTCATCCTCAAAAAGGTTTGTGAATTTAGACCAGTCAGCCTTCTTGAAGTTCCATGATAGCTTAGTTGGCACGTTCCTTGTCATGCTTTTGCTGCCGATGGTAATACTAGCAATGACTGGTTTGTGACCAGAACCAGGATTGTCAGTTATTTTTCGACGTGTATGCTCACTGATGTCGCTTGAAGCCAAGAGTAAGTCAGGAGTTGTTCTGGTTCCATTGTAGTGCAAATATGTAGCCAGATCCTCATTGCTATAAATAAGTTCCAGAGGGTTGCTGTTTAGTATGTCTTCAATTCCTTTCCAGCTTTGTTTGTATCCTTGTAGCTCCATCTGGTGTAGTGGGCGTTGAAGTCTCCTAATACTATAGTTTTGTGTGAGATGTTCAGAAAGTCAAAGTTTGGACAATTCTGGGGAGGATTATAGACTGCATATATCTTGAATTGTTTTTGAAATTTCCAAACATTTAATCTGATAATTTCACATTAGTCTTGTGTCGAGCCCATACTCTTGATTAGGTCGTAGTGTGAGGTGAAGCCATCTTTTACTCCAGTTAGAATTCCACTTGCAACTTGCCGGTATTTAGGTAGATTGTACAGGGTGTAACCTGGGAATTGGTGGCACTTCAGTTTGTCATCCGAAATGTTAGCTTCCATAGTTGTGAAAATGTCAACATCATAGGTTTGCAGGATTTTCTGTATTTGGATCTTTTTGTCCGGAGGATCTGAAGACGTTGTGATTCGCCCTGTCGAGGGCGATTTTTCTTATAGCTTTTTTTAAAGCAAATCATAATTAATCGAAGTCAAAAACAAAAAACGAATGCCGAGTGATAGACTTTTTTACCGTAAGAAAATACTTTGTCCAGGGTGCACCACGAGGAGGTAAGTCTATCGCGCGCCCCTCCATTTATAAGTTTTTTGCTACGTATTTCTAGGTCACTCTAATTTTTTTTTAGAATTTGCATTTGGCTCTCTAATACCTGCCGGAAGTCGTTGAATTGCCAGAATGATCAACATTTGGCGTCTAACGGTGTCGAAGTGTGGAGAGTGCATTACGCTTTCGTGGCACAGATCTTAGATACCTCAACGGAATGCAACCAGAGTTCTCATAACATCTTTATGATGCGTGTGAAGATTTAATATTCATTTATATGTATTTGCAACGTATTTCTAGGCCACTCCAAATTTTTTTTTAAAATTGGCATTTGACTCCATAGAAAAAAAAGTGTAAAACGTCTTAGAGATCCCAATAAAAACCAACAATTTAAATGGAAAACATTCCTGAAGCCAATTTCATCTCGAGCAAGTGTCTGAGCTTAAGACGCTTAGTAAACAGGTGTGGTGCCTCTTCTGTGTTTGGTCAAAAGGAAAATCAAATTACATTCGGTGCCACTGTACCACGAAGAATTAGGAATTTCCATTAACAAGCATTTCACTCCATACCTTCTCTTTATTGAACTTCGTGGAGGAAAAAGTGACATCTCATCAAATGCCACGTCTTGAAGTGATTTGTAAAATCATGCCTTGGAGATGTTGGTTAATAATTTAGTGCCTAATTTAAGGAAGCATAAATAAATTAAAAGTATATTGACTTATTATATCAAAACCCATTACTTCACTTTAGTTCATATCACAAATTCTCAATTTCCTTCATGGTGAAATATTTGTTCCAAAACTATATTATGATTTACGTTCTACTTAATAAATATTAGTAGGGAGACATTTCCGACCCAAACTGAACTTTCATTTTAATTACATGAACAAAACTGACATTGGCTAAATAGTTATATATGAATGATAGCAATTAACAAAAGGTAAAAATTTATCTGGCCAACAAAGAACAGAACGAATTATATATCGTATAACAAATGTTGTTCATCAACATTGAGCTGGTTAGTTCAATCTAAGGATGGTCTTTTTGAATGGGCACATGTTTATGAATTTATCCATTTTGGATGCGTTACAGACTTTTCTCCGAATGGCAAAATAGTGTCGACTATGATCGATAACTTCTAATTAATGATTTGATCAGTTTTGACTTAAGATACCTAAGCTTGAACAATCTTTGGGGGACAAAGCTAGTTTTAGAAAAGGGAAAATTGGGTACTGTGGAAGTGGTCCGATCAGAGGTGAGAGGTCAATTGGCGGTAAATAGGCTTTTTGCCGTATGAGAATACGATGCCCAGAGTGCCCCACATGAATGAAAGTCTATAACACACGCAAACACTCGTTCGTTCCAAAACAGGAGTAGTGGATTTGATCATTAATTTTGTTATGACGACAAGAGAGTAGCCTTTAATCTCTGTTTAGAATGAGTAATGTCTGTCACATGCCACAATTTAAAACTGAGTAGACTTTACCATACAATATTGCATGTTTAGATTGCAGATATGATTGATCTAAACCTTCTATAAATCATTCAATTATCGTTGTATTGTCAATCAAGTTGTTCAAGTTCGATTACAATATACTGCATACAGCTTATATTGTTTCAAATTTAAAATTCTTTATTTCAACTTAATAATTACGCCCATCTTCTGCTGAAACTCTTTTATAATTTCAACATCCCCCGGTATTGAAATTTTCACTTTCCCAATCCAGGCTTTCAATCGAAAAAAACTCGTCCCCTTGTACGCCTTTGCATATTATCACTATTTCGTTTGCATTATGCCATGTTTATTGTGCCTTTCCTCTCACACGGACATTAAATTACACTTGGAATTCAGATTGAGATTCAGCTATCAATATGTCAAATTGACACTGTAATGGCTGCAATGAGTCGAACATCAGTTCAGATTGACTCGAATTTATGAAATCGTTAGTTGAAAATGAAAATGAGACATGCGTACGATCATCAATTCTACAGGTAAAATATTTTAGTCGTTCGCCGAATAAGGATAATATGGGTATTTAAGTTCGCTGCACCTTATGGTCTTGAATTGTCTCCTGATTAAGTTCTTCATTGAGTGGAAAGTTATCGGCCGGTCTATGCTTTGCAAAATTGCTGTCCTCTTCTTAACAAGTGCGTCAGCAAGCTCATTGCCTTTAATGCCAGAGTGACCAGATATCTATTGTAAGATCACTCCTTTCCTTTATCTCTCAGTAACTGAGAGGAATTTTGCATTCATATATCTTGGCTGTATTGAGTGGCTCTCTGCTTTCAATTGGATCTAACACTGATTGTGAGTCCAAAAGAATTACTGCTTTGGTGAATTTCGTATCCAGGCAAAACAATTGACCTAGTGCCCTCTTAATAGCATCTATTTCGTCTTTTAAACCGGATCTTTTGTGTTCCGCTGCTGCATAGAAAGAGAATAGTTCAAAGTTAACAACTGCACCAAGGTTTGTTTGGTTTTTCATGCATGATCCATCAGTGTAGATTCGAAGCGATCGATCTGTATGATAGTTGACATTGATTGTGTCACCTGTGTAGGTAATTAGTCTCCTGGACGATGTTTTGACAGAGCTATCTAGAAAGTCTGAGCACAGCAGTTCCAGTATTATTCATCATACATCTATTGACGACGCATCAACACGGGTTTTGAAACTCTTTGAATCATTTTGAAATCCCAAAGCTAGATTTTCATTTTGCATTTTTCTTGCGATTTTTCCAACAAATTGCTTACTTCAGATTTGTTCATTGATAGCCCTTCAAGTCTTCCCTATTATAAATGCAAATATAAATATTTTCATGTTTTGCTGCTACTATTTTTAATTATATTTTCTCACCAATTTTTAAATTGCTCCCATCTCGTTCTCACCAACACACAAATGATTTGAAATCTACTTGGATTTGGCATTTACAAGTGAAGTGGAACATATTTCTTGTTAAAAAGATGTATGTCTGGAAGAAACTGTGTAAATGTCAAAAATCGACAGGTTTGAATGCACACAAGCAAAGCCTTAATTATTTTGATGCTCATGATTGCTCTTTGTTGAAGTGCAGGCTGCAAGCAAACAACTTCGGAGACCACTGGCAATCTACAGTTTGATGCAAAGTTCGCAAGTTCACAAATTATATCATTTAATACGCACATAATATATTTGAATCTTAATCCAATTTATGAGTTAAACAAGCATTTAAAGTCAGATGAAATGGGCTCTAGTCAAAAGTACGCGACCCCTTGTACGCTCTTGCATAGTAACACAATTCCATCTGCATTATGCTATGTTTATTATGCCTTTGCCTGATCAAACTTGATAATTTATTTTATCTGAAGTTAAATTTCATTCCAGTGACAAATTATTTAACTTGCATTTAGGTTGTTCAATCTTGACAGAAATTTGGAAACAGATTAATGAGCAGAAATAAAACATGGAGGATTGGATAGAGTAATTTCGATTATTTCTTTATCCTCAAATACTTCTGTAGACAGAATTCTGACATTCAGTTTGAATTACTTAAAAGACCTTTAAGATCGATTAAATAGCAATGGATATGTGGGTGCGAATATTCAAAACAAATAAAATACAATGACCTAATTGTTTTTTAAAGTTTTATGTTCTTACACACGATATTAAAAAATTACCCCTTTTGTTAAAATACCAATAAAATCGCCTCTAATGTAAATATTTATTTGAACATAAAAGAGCGACCTCCCAATGTTGTCGTATAAAAGAGATTCATAAATCTGGAAAAATTATTCACAAACACACCAAATCCAATGATCGTCAGTCAAAACAAAAGAAATGGCTTTTTCCATGGGTAGAACTTTGGTACATGATCTTTATTTCAACGATTTCATACATTGTTGTCACTTTCAGCATATAGATGTAGATTTTAAC